TGCAAGATTGCTGGCGTGGATGCCACCCCGGGCCCCCTGTGGAGGGAGAGCGCGGCTCTTGATGATGGCGCATTTGGCTCGGATGGCTCGACCAGGCCCTCCAAGAAGCCGAAGGTTTTGACGTCGCTGGCGTTCCCTGGGAAGTAATGCGTCGGGCTCCAGTTGCAGATAGGGGCATCGTGAGTGTGATTTTGTGCTCTCGGTTTCTTGGCAGCTCTGCGGGAGGGCGCCTCTGTTTGCAGGGTGAGGCTTTTGGAGAAAACTGCGCACCTGCAAGCGGTTTGGCTGTAAGACAGTTTCAGACTTCAAGCCCATGCCGCCCACTGCTGCCCGTCTGAAACGAGATGACGAGGTCGAACACGAGAAACGGCGAAGACGAGAAACGACGACGACGACGATGACTGACGACGAACGACGACGACTCCAGACTGTCGGATCAAGTGTGCTGTTCGCGGCAGTGCGGAGGCCCGCCCAAAGACTCCATCCCCGTTGCTCAAAAGCCTTCCAGAAAGTGGAACTATCGCCATGATCATATACTACTTCTTTTATTTTCCCCGACCCAGTACAAAACGGGGCCCGCGTTCGGAACCAATGCTAACATACATGCGAATTCGTGTTATGGATTTGGCAGTGTCTTCATCTAGTATGGTTGCAAACAACTACGCGGCGCATGCGCAAAACCATAAACAGCAACACATAGATAATCCATAAAACAGCACATGCCGTTTATACTTTCGACAATTCTGATTTTGAAAACAATAGAAAGCATACCTATACGACCACCCTGCAGGTGATAAGGAGGTTGGGGGGGAAGAGGGCCAACAATGGGCAAAAGTGGTGATTGTTGCGTTGCCGCTTTCTCGTTCGATCGATAGAGGGACCGATCCCACTATCGATCTATCGATCTCACAAGCGATGTCGTTATCGGTCTCACGATCGATGGGACCATCGATCCCAGATTCGATATCACTCGATCGATCCGAGCATCGATTTCGTTCGATCGACTGCATTGTCGATATCACTCTGGATCTCGCCATCGATCCCACCAACGATCTCCCAATCGATATCACTCGATCTCACAATCGATATCACCATTCATTTCACTATCGATATCACGATTGATCTCACGATCGATTTCACTATCGGCCTCATTATCGATTTCACCATCGATCCCACAATCGATTTCGCCATCGGTCTCAAGATCGTTTTCGCACCAGCGGGACACCGGGACACCTGCGGGACATTGGCGAGACACCGCGGGCCACTGCTTGCCAGAGGGAGAATCATTTGGTCCCGCCGGGGCCCATCCACAAGCGAGACACCGGCGGGACACCGGCGGGACACCGTGGGCCACCGTTTGCCGGAAGAAGAATCATTTGGTCCGGCCGCGTCGCAGCCACAGGAGACTTTCCTCTCGCCCGCCCACGCAGCTTCGCCTCGCCCGCACGCACGGCACGCACGAACGCGAAACCGAACCGATTTCCCGGTGGGGGTTTCTCCGTTCCGCTTCGATCTCACCCCCCAGCCTCCGATAACACGATTGACAATCCATTATCGAGCATGCTGGATTTGCGGCGCCGCCAACGCGCCAAAATCAATATCGGAAGACGGTCGATCGAGACCCTCGCGGCTTCCTCAGGTCTTTTGTTTTTTTTGGTTCAGGGCTTCGGTTTTAGGGGCGATGGCTTAGGGCGCAGAGCGTGCAGCGCATGGCTTCAGGTTCTGGGCTTGGAGCTTTCGCTCGGGGGTAATGAATATATTGGACGGTGTGTAGCTGTGGGTCAGGGGTTCGGGTGTTGAAATTCTCGATTTCGGGTTCGGGGAATTTTTGGATTTGGGGTTTACCAGGATTTGTGGGTTTGTCTTTTCGATGTCTGGGTTTGCCCCTCACGATCTTTGATTTCCCCTCCGAATGAATGGGTCTGCCCTAGAAGCTCTGGGTCTGCCGTTCTGGAATGTTTGGCCTTGCCTTTCCAGAAATTCTGAGTTTACCCTTCCACCCCTTCGCTCCTCCACGCTCCTCCTCCTCCTGTCGCTGCCGATGGTGATATGAGGGTAAGATTCCGACGCTGTCATCCTCGTCCTCGTCGTCGTCGTTGTCCTCCTTCTCCCCATCGTCCTCCTCCTCCTCCTCCTCCTCCTCCTCCTCTTCCTCCTCCTCCTCCTCCTCCTCCTGGGCTGAGGAGTTGTGGGAGGAGGAGAGGTGCGAAAAGTGGCGGGGAAGGCGGGGGCAACGGGACGAGGAGGCGGACAAGGAGGAGGAAGAGGAAGTGGACCAGTTGAAGTCCAAGAAACATTAATGATGTTGCAATCAGGCCTCCCTCCAAGGTCGCATATCACAGGCCACTACACGAATGTATTCGCATTGCGGGAAGTGTCCCATTTGAAGACAACCGTTTGAGAATCCTCAATCGTGGCGGGATTCAGTTCCTGGGTTGCCAGAGCCGCGAATCAACGTCATTGTTGCGTCCTGACATTCCTAAGTCGCATCACGATACCACTCATGGGAGTCCAATTCCGCGAATCAAAGTGACTGTTGCGCCCTGACAGTCGCAAGTCGTGCTGGAACACAACCCGTGGACGTCAGTGATCATAATCATTGAAGCTGCTTTTCAACTTTCAGACGACTGCGGCGATACGGCGAGCACCAGCTTCTGACAAGGAGCCGGCCTCCATCCGTGAAATTGTTGCAATTTTTTCAGACTGCGCGGTGCTATGGCGAACACATCTGTTTTAAAAAAAGGGACCGTTCTTCATCCATGGAATTGCTGCCAACTTGTGCTCGGCGCTAAGGTAATCAGCATATCTTGGAAACGGACCGTCTTCCATTTGTGAAACTGTTACAATGTTTCCAAACCATCCTGTAATGGTGGGTCCTGGTTTTGAAGAGACGTTTACCGCGTTCACTCCTCCTCCCGCTGCCCCCTCATGCTCTCATCATCATCATCATCACCACCATCATCATCATCATCATCACCATCATCATTATTATCATCGTCGTCGTCAACATCATCATCATCATCATCATCCTCCTCTTCCTCCTCCTCCTCATCATCATCATCATCGCCATCGTCATCGCCGTTATCGTCACCATCATCGACACCAATTTCGGCACACCCCTCACACGTTTCGTGGCCCCATGTGGAGCTCTGCCAAAGGCCCCAGTGGCACTGTCCACATGTTTCCGCCACACCCATTTCGGCACACTCGTCACACGTTTCGTGGCCCCATAGGGAGCTCCACCGAAGGCCCCAGCGGCACGGTCCATATGCGTCCGCCACACCAATGTCGGCACACCCCTCACACGTTTCGTGGCCCCATCGGGCCCGAACTCAGGAACGGCGCTCTCGCTCGAGACGTTCCCGTAATTCAGGCAAGTTGATGGAGGTTCAGATACGGCGACAAGGACTCCCGTTCGATATTTCTCCATGAGTATTCCGAGAGCCCCTGGCCAGAGAGACCCCCGAACTCAGGAACGGCGTTCTCGCTCGAGATTGCTTCGCACTTCAGTCAGTGGCCGACAAGGAAAAGATTCCCCCCGAAAGGGGGTGCAATCGAAGACGAAGTGGGCGGGTATCGAGAGTTGGGGTATACGGCATTCAAGACACGCGTGCCAGTAAGAGCGAACAGTCTCAAACTGATTGTTGTTGTTATTGTTATTGTTATTGCTGTTGTGTTGTCTTGTGTTGTGTTGTGTTGGGTTGTGTTGTGTTGTGTTGTGTTGTGTTGTTTGTTGTTGTTGGTGGTGTTGTTGCTGCTGTTGTTGCTGTCGTCGTTGTTGTTGTTGCTGTTGTTATTATTGCTGTTGTTATTGTTGTTCTTGTTGTTGTTCTTGTTGTTGTTGTTGTTGTTGTCTTGTGTTCGTCTGTGTTGTTGTGGTTATTGTGTTTGCATTCTCCCTTCGATAACCATTGCATTTGTCAGGTAACGTGCTTCTCCCGAGACTCGCATTTTTTTAAGAAACAAAAAAACGGAAAACAAAACGAGGGACAGGAGAGGGGTCACCAATTGGCCCCTGGCCCCCAGTTTACAATAAAAGCGGTTCCCGCTTCATAATTCCTCAATGTATTCTAAAATCGCGCTCTCGCGCGTAGGAGGAGGAGGAGGAGGAGGAGGAGGAGGAAGAAGAGCAGGAGCAGGAAGAGAAGGAGGAGGAGGAGGAGGAAGAGGAGGATTTGGAGGAGGAGGAAGAGGAGGAGGAGGAAAAGGAAGAAGGACGAGGAGGACGGGAAGGGTCTGGGAGGTGGGGGGAGGGGGATTCAGATCTTGTGGTTTGGACCGACTTCCTTCGGAGGGTCCGGGCGGCTCTTGCAGGCTTCTGGAGGTCTCCCGAGGACGAGGTGCGGAAGAGGAGACATGTGAGGACGAGGACGTGCCTCGCGACCTCGGAAGTTCAAGGGGCCACGGCAGGCCGAGGAGTGCCGGCAACCTGCAGCCAAGACGCTGAAACAGGGAGCAGTTTGGATCCGGAAGGGGCTCGTTGTTCCTCACGTCCTTCCGTGGTTGTTCCTCTAGCCCTTCTCGTGCACCCAGACTTTTTTGAAGCCACAGAGGGGCTTCGTTCCTTATTTAGCGTTCCTTATTTCAGCAGCCCGACTGTAACGTGGCTCTCCCATCATCGCTCCGACGCTGCTCGTCCGGTTGGCTCTCCGTCCACGGGGCGGGCGCGACAGCGCCAAGAAGGTTTAGCCTTCGCCAGCGATTCTGTGATTCGGTCCACTACAGCCACTATCTTTGCCCTCCTGCTTCAAACGCAAAAGCCATTACCTGGCATGGCATGCAAGAGCGGAGCACCAGAGGAGGAAGCAGAGGAGGTGAGCCCTAACGTCGTCCCCAACGGCCAGCACTGCGCTTGCGGCGGCCGTGGAATACGGGCTCTGGCTGAGCCCCGGGCTTCTGGCTTTGGAGGGGAACGGGGGGAAGGGGTAGGGGGAGGGAGGGGAAATGAGGCGGGGTGGCGTGGCAGCCGCCCTTTCGGGCCGCGTCGCTGCGTCGGGCAGGCGCGCGAGCAGAGGCAGCTCGAGGGCCGAGGCAGCCTTGCGGGCGCGCTGGGTCGGCGAGAGCCGTCGAACACCTACCTGGGCCACTGACGGCGACTGCTTCCCTCCTGCTCCCGCTCCTGCTCCTCCTGCTGCACCCCGCACCCGGGTTCTGCCGGCATCGAGGAGATTACACTAACGGGTTCCGATCTGCTGTGTGGGGAACCGCCCTCGCCCGCCAGGTTTTTGGCGGCATGGCTCGGGCCTGGTGGGTGGGAGATTTCGTGGGCGCGGCCTCGTGGGCGGGACCACACGTGGCCCGATGGGCGGGGCCCGCATTCCGGACCCAGAGATGGGGACCCTTTGGGGTCGTGCATCCTGTGGTTCGGATGGCAGGGAGCGGAGTGGGGAGTACAGCGTAGAGAGTGCGTAGAGTTTAGAGTGTAGATGATGGTGGAGAGGATGGTGCAGAGCATCAGAGCATCAGAACACATGACAGAGAGTGAGGGAGTGGGAGGGTCAGGGAGCAGAGAGCAGGGGCCCTATCCACCGAGTCCCATCCATGGTGCCCTGCCCACCGAGTCTGCAGGAGTCTCCATGGAGCTCCTTGTGGTCGGCTTCACTCGTCTGCCTCTCCCCATCCCCGATCGCCCTCCTTGCGGGCGCTGCCGCCGCTGCTGCCACGCGCTGGTGTCGAGAACGGCGCTCGCTTGTTTCAGAACGGGGTCGGGACGTTTGCGTGTAGTGAGACTGCCCTCCCCCTTTCACTGCGTAGAGTGAAAGGGGAGGTGGAGCCTCTATGCAGTCGTTTTGTTGGCCTCGCTACGCAGATTTCTCGGCCCCACCTCTACCCTGGTGTCCTGTGCCCCCGCCTTCGTGGGGCGCCTGTAGCAGGCCCGCTTGGGCGACTCGCAATCGCGAGGCTCCAGCTGGTACCTGCCAGGACCCCGTTTCATAAATTATGGTTCTGGGGGACACTTCTTCGACACACCAGCGTGCTGCCTCCTCCTTCCGCCGAAGGGGGGATGGGGTGAGATGAAGGAGGCGGTCGGGGAGGACGAGGGGCAGGAAGAGCAGGAAGAGGAAGAGGAGAGGGTGGCATCAGGGAGGAACAATGACGGTGATGATGGTGAGGAGGGGGATGAGTTGGATGATGATGATGATGAGGAGGGGGATGGGGAGGAAACAAATAGGGGTCTGGTGGGAGAAGAGAAGGGGAAGGATGAGGAGAAACACATTTGGCACATAGAAGAGAGGCCACGCTGGTTCGCTGCGTGCAGTTCTTTTTGTTATCCAATGCTTGCCTCCTCGCCTGACGCCCGTGCTCCTGCACGTCGACCGTCTTTGCCTTTGCGACACACTCTCACTCTCTCTCTCTCTCTCTATCTCTTTCCCCGTTCCTTTCTCTCTCTTTCTCTCTTCACCCCCACCCCCCTCTCCCGTTCCCCTTCTTACGTGGCGTGGACTGTTTGCCTCAACCTGTGGCATCTAACTCCCCCTCTCTCTCTCTCTCCTCCCCTTTCTCCTCTTTTGGAGGACTCCAGTGATCTGCGACACATGCTGTCCCTATCGCGCCCCATGTTCAGGTATCATATCCTCGATTCCTCGTGCCATGTTTCTTCAAGTGAGTCTGCCTTGACAGAGCTCTGACCTCCCAGTGCAGCTGCTCGCATGCAGGGAGAGCCTGCTTCCCCAGTGCCCCCCTTGTGCGTGGGCTGGGCGTGTCGCCGCCAACCCCGTGTGGCGACCAGGCTCCTCTTCCTCCTCCTCCTCCTCCTCCTCCTCCTCCCGCCTTATCCTCCTCCTCCTCCTCCTCCTCCTCCTCCAGGAGCTGCTCCATGCTCCAGTAGTGAGAGATGAGAGGCAAGACGTACGCAGCCTCGCTGCCCTGGGTGCAGACAGCGCTTGCGTACGTGGTGTGTGTTCACTGTGACACTCGTCTCTCCGAGGGAGTCGAGCTTAGGGGCGATTGGGCATAGGCGGCTGCGTCAAACATGGGATGGCCGTCTTGCGTGGGACATCTTCACCATCCTGAGCATCGGATGCGCCATCACGCAGATCCTGACGCCACGGCCCACACACCCAATGCTTGTTCAGCAGCTATGTTGGATGTGTTCGAGCACACGTGTGTTTCACTGATGCTCCGCAGGGCTCTTACAAAACCATTTGCTTTTCAGCGGGGTGATGCGTATTTCTCCAACCCCGGTCTGGCCTTCGTCTCTATGCCCGCAGTGGTGTTCCTCAACATTCCGTGCAATCCGATCGCAAGGTGCACAGTCAACGCAGTTGGGCAATTAAGTGCCTGCCAGCGCCCGGCCCTCTAGCTCGCGCGTGCGGGTCGCCTCTGCCGCGATGCGACGTAGAACGTAATCGCAAGTTGTGGCAGCCTCGTCGTTGGCCTCGCCCATCTCTTTCCAGCCGCACTCGCAAGATATGGAACCCCCGCCTTCGCCGATCCCAACGCACGGTGTGGCAACCCATCTGTTCTCGACTGCGCCCCCCCCCCCGCTCTGTGTGCCACGTTCACCATTTCCTGTGCACCTTGGACCCATCAGGTGGCTCACTATACCTACCTCCACCATTGACGTCACATGTACGATTCATGGACACCACGAGGGCCTCGTAGGGCGTGCTGGGATGCGCCAGGCGAATCTCTCTATACGCAGTTGGAACTAGATCTCCTTGGGTACACATGGACCCACGATCTAATGATTGCAAGTGTGGCTTCCATACTGTTGTCTGATATTGTCGTTGTTTCTGCTTCCATGGGTGCTGTTCACAAGTTCGTCAACTCGCAAGCTGTGGCAACCCCGTCTGTGGTCGACTGCGCCACCTATACTGCACCTCATTCTGAACACCTTGCGGCGTTATTCTAGGCTTTCCCGCAAGGGTGCCCATGAGGATGGCCAATTTCCCACTGCTCTTGTTGGCATCCTGCAGCGTTCCTTGTATGAGCTCGGGCACGCGCGTGCCACTTGTGTGTACAGATGCATATGGTTATACACAGATTATCTATAATGTTTATTCCTGGTGCTCGCTGCCCCGAGGTTTGCGATGTCCCATGTCCCTCGGATCGACGACCTTTCTTAGTCTACGGGAGCCCATGGCTTTTGGCGCAACGGGCCGGGTGTAGGTTTTGAAGATATGCAGCCCTTGAAAAGAGTGTACGCTGTAAGCTGGACAACACGAGCGTCCGTGCTGCTATCGGCCTCGAGTGGTCCGTTCCTCCCCCCCGCCCCGGGTGGATGGGGTGGGGGGTCGGGTGGGGTGGGGTTTGCGGGGGGGGGCGCCAGGTGCGCGTCCAACGCTTTCTCAAATTTAGGCGGGTCTGGTGACAAGAATGTGTTTCAATGTGCTATATGCTTCAACTCATTAGAACGTATTTTTTACAAGTATGGAAGAGGCCCTGGAGGAGATCTTATTCTTGAGTTGACCATCTGGAATCTAGCGCATCATCTATGCTCTTCGCTATCTGGCCATACAAACATCATTTCGGTTTGGACACGGGTTGGAGTTGGCGAGGAGTCATGCGTGACCGTTTCTTCCCTCCCTCGTCGTTTCCTCCTGTCGCCCCGTGATGACGCGCCCCTTGTTAATTGTGAGCCATCACAAACTGGATCACGCAGCGAGCCAGCGACCAGACCACGGCGACCAATTATGGGCCCTGCCCCGTATTTGGAGCATTCCCATGGGAGAAGACGTGGGAGCACGACGATTAGGGTGACGATGCTTAGGCGCTTTGCACGGAGTTCTAAGTTGTGCCCGCCATGCTTACGCTTCGGCCGCTCATTCGATTATCTTCCTCGCCCTATCATGGTGATCGTTCTTTTATTCATAGTTTTGACGATCGCCGCGGGCCCTCGCGCCCCCCCGTCCCCCCCCGTGGAGTGAATCTTGGTTGTTTGGGGGCGCCTGTTGCGAGCAGGTGGAGCCCCTCCCCCACAGGACGCACTGCTGCATACAGTCGCAGTAAGCAGGGGTCTGGAGCCAGACCCCTCCTCCTCCCCACCCCCCTTCCGCCCAGTGCCGAAGCGCCGAAGAAGAAAACACTCACTTCGGACTCCCTCTTCTCCTTTTTCTCCTCCTCCTCCTCCTCCTCCTCCTTTTCCTCCTCCTCCTCCTCCTCCTGTTCCTCCTCCTCCTCCTCCTCCTCCTCCAATCCGTTGCAGCTCCTGCCTCGTCGGAATCCTCCAACCCTGGTATGTTCCCGCTTCTCGGTGGCTGGCTGCAGCGGCCTCTGGCCCGCGGCCCCTCGCGCCTGGAGGCGCGAGGGGAGGGGCGTATTTAATTCGGGGGTGGACAGACCTCCTAACAGTGACACGTCGATTAGTGAATTGTCCGTTTTCGGTTCTCGAGAGGGCGCCGCGGCCGCTATTTTCCAGGCTTGCGCCCGCCAGATTTGGGCCTCAGGTCGTTTTCACTAAGCCACGTTTTACTAAAGGGAGGTCTGTCCACCCCCGTTTTTAATTGTATCCCGTGAAGCGAAAATCTTGGTCTGTCGACTTGCAGCCCGCCCTGCTGGAGAGTGCAGTCGGGGCGCTGGAGACGGAGCCATGTTTTTTGGGGAGGGGCTCGGTGGTCCTTGATTGATTTACAGTTTGCCGTCTGGGTGTTCCTGATTTTTTTAATCGGAGATCGAGGTTTTAACCTATGGGAAAGAGGGGCCTCGTTCCTTGTTAAGGGTTCCTTATGTCAACGGCCCGACTGTACCCAGTAAAGCGAGAATCTTGTTCTGTCGACTTGCAGCCCGCCCTGTTTGAGAGTAGTGATGCGGGGATCATCTCCGCAGGGACAGCGAAGGTCAGCTGGTCGGCGGCAGCGGAGGACAGTAACGACAGGGAGGGATGATTATGATGCTGCTGCTGATGATGAGATACTGATGCTGATGCTGATGCTGATGATAATGATGATGAGGAGGAGGATGCGGATTCTGATTAGGATGATGATGAGGATGAGGATGAGGATGAGGATGATGATGATGATGATGATGATGATGATGATGATGATGATGATGATGATGATGATGATGATGATGCTGATGACGATGATGATGCTGATGATGCTGATGATTATGATGATGATGATGAGGAGGAGGAGGAGGAGGCGGAGGAGGAGGAGGATGGATGACAGGGACATGCGGACTGCCGAAGGAATGCCGGTGGGAGGAAATACCAATACGGATGAGGAAGGAGGGCGGAGGCAGATGGCTTCGCATCCACTCGCTTTACGGGTTCCATGGGTTAGCGAGTGCGTTGGTGTCGTCCGAGGGTTGCGCACGTGTTGCCATCATCGTGACACGGGAACCAGCACGAGACTAGGAGCGATGCCAACATTGGTACGACTCGGATTTCCCAAGTGGGGGCGAGCGGACTTGACACTGCACTTGGTGTTTGCCCTGCTGAGGGATGATGCTCGTAGGGTATCGCGTGTATCGACACCTGACTTGGCCGCTGCGCAAATCGTCGCCCTCCTCCTCCCCCCCCCCGAGCGCAGGCTGGGCCGCCTCCTCCCCTCCTCCGCCTCCTCCTCCTGCTGCGGCCCGTAGGAGCTCGAGTTGGGCCGCTTCGGTTGCTCTGCGCACGGGCCCTGGGTGTGGGGAGATGGTATGTGCGCTGGCATGTGTTGCATCGGGATATAACCCGGCAGGTTTTGACCATAGGCATATGGGTCGATTCCATGTTGTGGGCGGCTTGAGTATCCCGAACACATCATGATGATGGTAGTCATGAAATATCCACGGTCAAGCCACATTGTATCCATCCTTATGCCAAGGCCACTGGCCCGAATCCCTGTATTGAGTGGTACTACGGGTTGTTGCCTGCGCGCGTAGAGGCTTCATGCATTGTCGCCAGGTGGCATTCCTGCGGTAAAGATGACAAGTATTTTAACACGTTGTCCCCTGGGTGGACCAAGGTCGTACTGTTGTGGTTCCGCCCCCCCCCCCAGCCCCACATAGTAACCAAACGCTGTTGCCAATCAAGTGCACTACGTATGCAACCGGATCTGCGAACCATATCATTAGCAACGTCGTCGGTTCGTCGTTACAATCGCACAGCACGAGGGCCAAATTAATGGAAGGAGGGGAAATTTGTGACAAGTGGGAGCGAGAACCAACTTTGGCGCGACGATCCCGAAAGCCAGCCAAGGTCGAATATGTCGAAAACGTTGAGTATTGTTTCCGTGAAGCTGCGTACCCAAACAGCGCTGATCTTCCCAGATGCTTGCTCATGTGCGCCCGAGGACACATGATTACGGTCGGGAGATGGAAAGGTGGATGTTGACCGTGTGGGATGTACGTAGTTTTTGTCGTGAGGGTTCGCATATTCGATGTGGTAACTGATGTTGTAGGAATGGGTTTTCCGTAACGGCGTTGTCGTCCGTATTTCCATTCGCATGTATTTGATTTTGTGGTGTCAATATAGGATATTGCACCGAGCAGATTGTACGATCCGCCGTTGCACAGGTCATGATATCAGTGTGCCGCCGTCTGCACAGACGCCGAAGGCGAAATCTTGACGCTTCGCGCATCCCCACCAGCTTCGCGGGTGGCACAGCCTGCCCCTGCTTGCCCGGCGTCCGATTTGATTCGTGCGCTTGCGTGGGTGGTGGTGGTCATTGCAAAAGGGAAACAATTCCCGAGCAGAGCAACACGTACCACGACCACGACGACGCCGACGACAACGACGACGACGGAGACGAGGCTCGCAGACGAGGTGCGCCTGCGTACCCAAAAGTACCCAATATATCCCCACCAGCCCATCCACAAGGCCCATGAGAGCTGACGGGGGGAAGAAAGGAAGAGGCGCGCACAGTCAAACGACGAGAGAGGCCGGCATGGACTGCGTGTTGGGGCCATCTCGGTGCCCGTGGCCATCTCGGGCCGTCTTGGAGCGGTCTTGAGGCCTTCGGGAGCGTTTTGGGGGCCATTTTGAGCCAGCTTGGGTTATCTTGAGCCATTTGGGAGGTCATCTTGGGCTATCCGGGGCCGCTCGCTCAGAGGCCTCTTTGGGGCCTCTCGGGTGCCTTTGGAGGCCTCTCGGTGGCCTCTTGGGGCGCTCTTTGGCTCCTCTTGGGAGCTTCTTGGGAGTGGGACCATCTTTGAGGCGGTCGGTCAAAACAAAGGGGGTCCTCGATGTCTGCCCCCCCCTCGGGGCCACGATCATCGTGACGGGTGTCAAAAATTCGGCCCTCCAACTGGCCGAAGAGGACCCTCCGACACCTCGCGACCCTTCAAACAAAAACAGGGAGGGAGGGTGAGGGTTCCCCTCCCCGGAGGAGGAAAGATACCTTCCTTAGACGACTTGCCGCCGAGAGGGCTGGTGGGATTTTACTTTTCCTCTTCGGGACCTCCTAAAATCGACTCTTGGGGTCCAATTTTGGGGCGCTCTTAGAGCGCTCGTGGGCGCTCTTGGGGCCGTTCTGGGGCTCTCTTGGGCCTCTCTTGGAGCCTTTTTGGGCCATCTTGGAGCCATCTTGAGGTCTCTCTCGGCAGGCCATCGAAAGCAAAACGGCGAGAAAGCCAAACCTATGTATTGTTTTCAGGTTTTGGAAGAAAGTTGGCTTGTTGGCGGCCTCCAGGGGATGCTCCGTGGCCAGAGGGGGTAGGGGGAGGGGTAAACCTCTCCCCGAAGGGGAAGAGGGAGGGGTGGAAGAGGAACTCGTTAAACCACCGACGCCCAGAGGGCTGGTGGGATGAGCCTCGTCTGTGAGAGAATTGTGAGGAAGTCTCAGGCTGGAGCCCCCTCCCTATGGGTCCCGCAATTCACGTTGGTAATCCGAGCGGGTCATCGGCAACCTGTAACTGTCGTCACTTTTGGGCTCCTCAGGCCTGAATTTGGAGGAAGTATCAAGCGGGAGCCTCGTCTGTGAGTGACTTGTGGGGAAGTTCAGGTGGGAGCCCCCTCCCTATGGGTCCCGCACTTCATGTTGGTAATCCGAGCGGGTCATCGGCAACCTGTAACCGTCGTCATTTTTTTGCTCCTCAGGCTTGAATTTGGAGGAAGTATCAAGCGGGAGCCTCGTCTGTGAGTGAATTGTGAGGAAGTCTCAGGCGGGAGCCCCCTCCCTATGGGTCCCGCATTTCATGTTGGTAATCCGAGCGGGTCATCGGCAACCTGTAACTGTCCCCATTTTTGGGCTCCTCAGGCCTGAATTTGGAGGAAGTATCAAGCGGGAGCCTCGTCTGTGAGTGACTTGTGGGGAAGTTCAGGTGGGAGCCCCCTCCTTATGGGTCCCGCATTTCATGTTGGTAATCCGAGCGGGTCATCGGCAACTTGTAACTGTCACCATTCTTGGGCTCCTCAGGCTTGAATCTGGAGGAAGTATCAAGCGGGAGCCTCGTCTGTGAGTGATGTTGAGGAAGTCTCAGGCGGGAACCCCCTCCCTCTGGGTCCCGCATTTCATGTTGGTAATCGGGCGGGGGTCATCGGCAACCTGTAACTGTCGCCACTTTCGGGGTTCCTAGGCTTGAATTTGGAGGAAGTATCAAGCGGGAGCCTCGTCTGTGAGTGAATTGTGAGGAAGTCTCAGGCGGGAGCCCCCTCCCCATGGGTCCCGCGTTTCATGTTGGTAATCCGAGCGGGTCATCGGCAACCTGTAATTGTCCCCACTTTTGGGCTCCTCAGGCCTGAATTTGGAGGAAGTATCAAGCGGGAGCCTCGTCTGTGAGTGACTTGTGGGGAAGTTAAGGTGGGAGCCCCCTCCCTATGGGTCCCGCACTTCATGTTGGTAATCCGAGCGGGTCATCGGCAACCTGTAACCGTCGTCATGTTTTGGCTCCTCAGGCTTGAATTTGGAGGAAGTATCAAGCGGGAGCCTCGTCTGTGAGTGAAATATGAGGAAGTCTCAGGCGGGAGCCCCCTCCCTATGGGTCCCGCGTTTCATGTTGGTAATCCGAGCGGGTCATGGGCAACTTGTAACTATTCCGGAGTAGGCGAGGGCAGAACGGCGGGCGAGAGGAGAGTGTCCGTCAGGGCGAGGAAGAAAGGGTAAGGGCAAGCTAGACAGATTATCATGTGGGGTCCTTCCGTCGGAGTAGTGTCACTTGGGGGCCTACTTAGAAAGACCGAAAACCATGCCGTGGCATGGCGCTGAAAATAAGGACGCCAGCGCTGCAGCGGGAGCAGCTTTGGAAGGATCGGAAGCGCGGAAATGAGGCCAGTGCTGCAGCAGGAGCACGATTCGGAACGATCGGTAGCCCGAAATTGAGGCCAGCGCTTCAGCGAGAGCAGCATTTTAGAAAAACAAACAGAAACGGAAGCGCAGGAATGAGGACGCGTAGCCTGCCATAGCATGGCGTGGCGACGCCCCACAGTGGGGGGGGGTCCGCGGCGCAAAAAAATCAACGAATCGGCACCGAATGTGTAATCACTTCCTATGGTTTTTTCGGGGGGACATTTTCTAGATTTGCGAGCCATGCCGCTGGAAATAAGGACGCTAGCGCTGCAGCGGGAACACGATTCGGAACGACAGGAAGCGCGGAAATGAGGCCTGCGCTGCAGCGAGAGCACGATTCGGAACGAGCGGTAGCCCGAGAATGAGGCCAGCACTTCAGCGAGAGCAGCATTTTAGAAAAACAAACAGAAACGGAAGCGCGGGAATGAGGACGCGTAGCCTGCCATAGCATGGCGTGGCGACGCCCCACAGTGGGGGGGTTCTGCGGCGCAAAAAATCAACGAATCGTGTAATCACTTCCGATGTTTTTTTCTGGAAGCAATGTTTTAGATTTTGGAGCCTATTTGGAGGGATATGTCGTGGCATGGCGCTGGAAATAATTACGCCTGCGCTGCAGCGGGAGAACGATCGGGAACGACCGGAAGCGCGGAAATGAGGCCAGTGCTGCAGCAGGAGCACGATTCGGAACGATCGGTAGCCCGAAAATGAGGCCAGCGCTTCAGCGAGAGCATCATTTCCAATCATCAAAATCAAGCGAAAACCCGTTTCCGGGAAATCTTGTGTGTAAGAAACCAGTACGCGGAGGGGGCTGGCCAGTTCCCGGATGCCACCAAGGGAGAGAGGAGAGTAGTGTTCATATTGATTAATCTTGGAAGGAGGAGGAGGAGGAGGGGTAGGAGGAGGAGGAGGAGAAGGAGGAGGAGTAGGAGGAGGAGGAGGAGGAAGAGGGAGAGGAGGTGGAGGAGGAGGAGGAGGAGGAGGAGGAGGAAGAGGAGGAGGAGGAGAGGGAGGAGGCGGAGGAAACGGAGGAGGCGGAGGGGCGGCGGCGGCGGAGGAGGCGGAGGCAGAGGGGGAGGCGACGGAGGAGGGAGGGAGGGAGAAGGGAATGTGATGAGGAAGAGGGAAGGGGCGGGGAGGAGAAGGAGGAGTTCAGCAGGGGGAAACAAGGGGGGAGGACGGCGCGGGGTAGGGGCATGATAATGGGAACGGGGATGTGGAGGTAGAGGAGGAGCCGGATGGGAAGGAACAGCGGGAAACTCTGTCATGTTGGCGCAAGGATAGCCCGCCGCCACCATCTTCCGTGCCCATCCCCAGCTCACCTCCCAGTTGTTCTCCCT